GTGCTGTCTGCTGACTCGGCAGCAGACCAAGCCCAGCCCCTGGGGCACTGGGTATGAACCTGGTCTTGGGGGCAAGGCCTAACTCTTTCCAAGGGACTTGTGGTTTTCTGCGGGACTGTCCTGCCTGCAGAGTGGGGGTGGCCTGGCCTTGCAGGGATCAGGGGCATCCTGGCATTGGCTGAGCAGAGAAGAAGGGGCTGTGGAAGAGGGGCTGGTTCGGGCCTGTGTGGAGGTGCCTTACTCCCCAGGCTGGCCTCCCTTGCATGACTGATCCCCCAGGTCCCCACATTGCCTGGAGCCTCCATGCCAGGGTCAGCCCAGGGGCATGTTTTGGGCAGGTGGTCACTCACAGGAGGGGTTGGCCAGGGTCTGGCAAGCCAGAGCATGGGGCTTGGTGAAAAGGAACCCATCTAGAGGGGATGGGCAGCAAAGACACGGGGTCCTACCCTGCCTGGCTGCCACCTCTGGGGTTCGGGGGGGTGGGGCTGGGAAGGGCCTGCCCGCTGCACGCGGAGCTGCTCTAACGCTCTCTCTCCCTCTCCTGTCCCTTTCCTAGTCCCCACCGAAAGGTGCCACCATTCCCTACCGCCCAAAGCCCGCCTCCACCCCTGTCATTTTTGCAGGTGGTCAGGTAAGAGCCGACCCGCTCGCGGCCTCCACTGCCAACCTCAGCCTTTTACTGCAGCACCCGCCGCTGCCCGTTAGTGCACTCAGGTTTTCTCGCCTTCTCACGTGCACGTCTCCCACCCCGTGCTAGACACAGAGCTCGCCCATAACACCTGACCCCCAGCAGGGTGCCCACAGAGAGGGCCCATGGGCTCGCCTTCCCCCAAGAACACTGGCCCAGCAGGAAGGACCCAGGCCCAGGTTCATAGCTGGGCCTGCCAGGGGGTACCTAGTTCCTGAGTGTTTTTAGGAAGCTTATAGTCAAAGGGCAGACATTTCCATGTTGAAGGCAGTGAGGACTGTAAGAACTAGGGCCCCACTTTCCCCTGAAAGGCAGGTTCCCACACCCCAGTGTATTTCTAGGGAACCCTCAGGAGGGAAGAGCTGTGGGCCAGAAGGAAGAGCAGCCTGGCTGGTGGGTATCTGTCCTGCTGTGGCTGGGACCTCCCTCCCTGCAAGCAGGGGCCTGGCAGGCATAGCCCCCTCTGCAGATCTGGTCCTTTCTACTCTTAGTCTCCCACCTCTGTCCTCCCCTGCCAAGGATGGTGATGCAGGCCTGCCACCTGGGGGTGGCACAAGAGCCCTGCTCCCACTTCCCCCACCCCCAGTTCACTGTGGCGACCCATGGCCCATCTACTTTGAAATCATTACCTGGGGGTGATCTGGAAGAGCTCTGTGTCTAGTCGGCCTTGATGTGTGTCTTTGTTCAAGGGAGAGTTGAGACTTAGACTTCCACTTGGGTGACCCTGGCCAGGGGAGAATGGCCTGAGGTTTTACTTTATCATTTAAAAAGAAAGAAAAAAGACAAATACAACTTATTCTTGTTTTCCTTCATAATGTAAAGGAATCTTATCAGATCAGCACTAGAATAGAGTAGAACATGTACACCCACATGGCTGTAGGTCAAAGCAGGCCTGGTCTGCCTCTCCAGCCACACCATCTCTCCAGCCCGCCTCACGCCCTGGCCTGCCTGACTGTGGCAAGGAGTTCCCATGTGTACAGCCCATTCTCAGAGCCACCAGGGACAGGTTCATCCCACATCACAGGTCAGAATGTGGCCCAGAGAGCCAGAGAATTACATATGTCCAGCCTGAGGGCAAGTGGAACTGACCCTTGGCCTCCCTGACCCAGGGACTTGGAGAAGTCCTGGTTCAGAACTCCACTCCATTCTTCCCCCCAAGTTCATGGCTAGTTAGCACATTAGTAGTCTTAATGTTCAAACAAAGTGTGATGGTATCTACAGTAAAATGTGGAAATTTATTCAAAAGGAAGGTGTATTAATACAAACCAACCACATGGTTAGGGGTCATGGTTAGAGGTCTAGCTCAAGGGGCAGGGCCATGAAAGAAGGACTTTGGCCAACGTGCTGGCCCCTCTGGGCTCATATCCCCACCTACAAAGTGGCAGCAGCACATGCCTCTCAGTTAAGGCGGCTGAAGGTCACAATGCAAAGGTGCTTGTCCTCAGGCTGATGTTAAGGTGTCAGCCTTTCTAGAGGCCAGCTCCAATGCCAATGGGCAGCCTGGCATGGCCAATGGTTAGCCTGGGTTGTGTATAGAGGCCAGCAGCACCCAAGACTCACTTCTGTTCTGCAGGTGACCCAGAGCACAAGTTCCCTAGAGTAAGACCCTTGACGTAGGGTGAGTGAGGCCTGAGGCAGCTGCCCTCGAGGGCCTGGGACTCAGACCCAGAACCAATGCTTAAACAGGACAAAGCACAGACCACAGGGATAGTGGCCAAGAATCAGTCCATGCCATCACTGCCAAGCTGGGCAGTCAGGATAAGGGGACACTGTTGCTCTGGGCACTACAGAGTCTCTAGTGCACAGTGGGAGGTTGCAGGCTCAGGCAGCAGGAGCCGTGAGGTACCAGGCAGATGCAAGACAGTACCCCAAGGAGTGGACAGAGGACCAGGAGAGGCTCAGACAAGCTAGCGCAGAAGTTCTCACGCCCCAAATTCAGCTTGAATATCACAGCTGTGCCCAGCTCTGTAGGAATAGCCCGAGTCTCAGGGCCTCTTGTGTTTGGTGATGTGTTGGAATGTGTTCCTGTCAGTGACAGCAGAGACCCTGAAGAGGGCCTTCCACACTGTCCCTGTGGGCAGTGAGGTCACGTTTCCCTGTCACTGGAACACTGCTGTATATGATAAGGTTCTTTTACTTCTTCTGGTGACATGGTCGAGCTGTCCCAGCCTGGGCCACCTCTGCTAGGATCGAGCCTCTTTCAAAGTGGGCTGGGTGGTCAATTGGCCAGCAACTGCCAGGGTTGAGCTGTCATGATGAAAACTCTTGGCAGATTCGAAACCTGTTGGGGGGATTTGAGTTCTACAGAGGTAACCCGTGGCCATGCCTGGGGTGTCCCTCTAGTTGCATGGGGAACATGTGTGGACATGGCAGGTGCCTGGTGTCCCACAGGAAGTGGTGGGGGCTGGCCATAGCCAGAGAGGCCACACCCCTCCACACCTGTGCCACCCCCAGGCCTGGTGTGGCAGTGCCCATATTACCGAGTCCTTTCAGCTTGTCTGTGGTCTTTACTCTCCCTTGACTCCGTGTGGTTCACTGTGGTTTGGCTGTGAGTTTGAGTCACTGAGAGCATCTCAGTGATAGGCCCTACTGAGGCAGGCTGGGGTTCCCCTCTCCCCAGTGTGCAGGGAGGCAGGGTGGGAAGAGGCTGCATGTCAGACAGTCACTGCAGCTGGTCAGAGCCACTCTTTGAAAGCAAAGGAAATAACAAAATCTCACCCAAGCCCTGGGCAGGGGGCCATGAGTGTGCCCTGTGTCACAACAGCTGCCTCCCATCCCATCCCCAGGACCTACTAACTGAAGATTTGATATGAAGGGTGTCAAGTTGGGTCACTCCTGAGACTTATCTAGATCTATCCCCTGCTCAGTTGGCACACAATGGGTGTTGGTTGCCTTCTAAAGCTTTCTGTTTTTGTTTTAGCTTCTTGGGATAAATATCTCCCCCAAATATTTACTAGGTGGTTGATTAAATTTCCAAAAGCTTAATAATTAGCAAACCTCTTGGGAGTCAGATAGGTCATTCTTAGGTGTTTTTCTTTCAAGATATTTGGGGTTGGGGGAGGTTGGAAGTGTCAAGGCTGGGTCAGCCCCTGCTCCCACTGCCTGGGCCTGCCCTATTTTCCATAGCTACCCCTAGAGGACTGGCCCTGCTTCCCGGGTGGGACAGGTGTCATGCAAGGAGGTGGCTGGCGGGTGCTGACTGGTGTCTCTCTCTCCCTAGGCCTACACAATCCAGGGACAGTACGCCATCCCCCACCCGGATGTGAGTGTGAACTTTGCTTCCTTCTCACCCTCACTTTCTCATCACTGTCCACCTTCCTGCATGCCACTGCTCATTGCTACTAATATTAATATTACACAATAATATTAATCTGTTTTCTCAGTGTTCCTGCCCTCTGTCGTATCCACATGACCTTGAATAACCTTTTAACCTCTTAGCACTAATTCTGCTTGTGTTGAGGACTTGGCCTGATGTCAAATTGTCCTATTATTTGCTGCAGTCCAGGGTTTTCCTCCCACATGGGGCCCACGCAGTAACTGTAGAGCAGCCCCTGCTCTGTGCCAAGGGGCACGGCTACCCTTCGTGGGCAGGGGCTGGCATGGTGCTTGTGTGCCCCTGAGAAGCTGGATGACAGCATCAGAATGTCTTCAGTGATACCTTTGGAAGGATCTTTTAGTGCCTGGGGAAGCTATACTCTCCCCTCCCAGAGCCCAGTTGAAACATAGGATCCCTGTGCCCAGAGATTCTGGTGTTGAGAGTACATGGAATAGGTTTCATTTCCACCCTAAAGCTAGTGAGGCACCTCAAGGGCCGCTGGTGTCCTGGGCTCCCAGTTGCGCCTCTGGGAGCTGGATGTGCCGCAGACACATACTTGGGGCCAGTGCCGCCATCTGGACACCCTTGGTCAGGAGGGCAGCACACCCTGTAACAAGTGCAGGGACAGAAGTCCTCAACCACCTTCTCATGGAGACCCAGAGCCTCAGGCTCTGAGCCAAGGGGCCAGAGAAAACAGGCAGCAGCCTGCAGGCCAGGGGACTTTTCCAAAGAGGGTGGTGGGCCCTCTGGGTGACAGGATCTGTACTGGTCAGTGCTGAGAAGACAGGAGGGGGCAAGTATGAGGAGCAAAGACGGGAGAAGTGGTGTGCTGCTGCAGAAGAGCAGGCATGGGTGGGTCCTGAGAGCTGCTGTTCTTAAACCATTTCAAATGTTCGCCCAGCTCAGCGGCTGCTCCGCATAATGGCTTTCTGTGCCATGCTGCTCTCTGGGCCGGGAAAAGCACCTCTGTCCAGACAGGAAGGAGGCTGCCAGCCAGCCTGACAGAGCAAGTTTCTACAAACACTTATGCTTTTGGTGGAGAGGGAAGAGGCATCATCTGAGTAGGATGTAAAGACAGGTCAGGGAGAGGGTTCTAAGAATTAATGAACATTAAATAGGTATTTGAAATATAGAGATTCAATTCACCATCACTACAGGAAAATTACTATCGAGCATAAAACAAATACCAATGTTTTTTTTCCTTTTTAAAAAAATTCTCAAAAAACACAAATCAAATGATAGGGAAATGTCTAGGCTGGGCACAGTGGTTCACACCTATAATCCCAGCACTCTGGGAAGCTTAGGCAGGAGGATCACTTGAGCTCAAGAGTTCAAGACCAGTTTGAGCAAGAGTGAGATCACATATCTACTAAAAATAGAAAAACTATCTGAGTGTGGTGGCAAGCACATGTAATCCCAGCTACTCAGGAGACAGAGGCAAGAGGATCACTTGAGCCCCAGAGTTTGCAGTGAGCTATGATGGCATTGGGTGGCAGGGTAACAGAGTGAGACTCTGTCTCCAAAAAAAAGGGAAACATGGAAAGTCCTTCCTTGGCTTCCTCCAGAGAGGCCTTGGTAATTTTCATCTAAACCCACAACATCTTGTCCTCAGGTCATCAACTGTGGACATATGTACCTGTTCCCATAAGGTGGCCCAGGCCATGGCCACCTCACACCACTCTTCCCTCTTGACCAGAACGTGCTGTTAGGGTTTCTGTCTCATACTTAGGGACAGTGTGACACAGACACAGGACTTGCATGTAGTTGCATGCACTTAGCGGGTCACTGTGGGTGGCTGGGCATGATGCCTCCTACCAGAATGTCCTGAATGAAAGAAAGTCAGCACAGAAGCCGGGCAAGGTCAGGGGTCCAGTTCCTGGGTAGCCCGTCTTCATGTGACTCGGGGTGTGAGGTGGCTGTGCGCATCAGGAATACTTGTGCCTGCACAGAAGCAAGATTGAGAGCTGCTCATTCGGGCTCTGTAAAGCTCTAGAACTTGAAGCAAAAGCAGTGTCTGGCATCCTCGTAGTGGGCTGTTTGTGGGTGTTTCTTTGTTCTGGCCCATTTGGTATTCTAAAGCTGGGTGTTGAGAGCTGCAGGGATGCTGTAGTGAACGCCAGTGGGTTTCCTGTGGTTCTGGGGCTAAGGAGCCTACAGCTCCCACCCAGCCCTTTGCAAGGCAGACACTGGAGTTTGCAGACACGTTTGTGGCCTGGACTCTGCATGGCTGGGGGTATACAGGAGTGTGAGAGTGAGAGGTTGTGATTGGTTTGGCTGATTGATTTTTTATATTAATTGATTATTTTTCTCTTTCCCATGTAACTTTCTCAGTATCTTTATGAGTGGGTGGTTTTATAGGTCATTTGTCTCAGAGTAGTTTAAACTAATGTATAACTGTTTTGTTTACCTCATTGCATATGGTGTAGATTTAAAATATTTAGAATGTTTGTTTCTCTCCCAAATTCATATGCTGGAATGATGGTGTTAGAACATGGGGCTCATGGGGGTGCTCAAGCCCTGAGTGGGAGTAGTGCCCTCACAGAAGGGGCTTCATGGCCACCCGCCCCCACCTATCTATCATGTAAGGACACGGCACTCACATTGCCATCTTGGAAACAAGGACAAGGCTCTCCCCAGGAACAAAACCACCAGCACTCTGATCCTGGACTTCCAGGCTCCATAATGGTGAGCAGTAAATCTATGCTCTTACATATCACCTCTCCTAAGGCCTGTGTCAACGGCAGCAGGGATGGACTGGCCACCTGGTGGTTCTGTGAATGTGGCTTTCTGTGGAGGACACTGTTCTCTGTCAGTGCTGTGCTGTGTCACCAGCAGGACCATGGAGGCTTCCGCAGGCCTTTCTAGCAGGCACACAAAATCGAAGACTTAGCCAGTCCATTAAAAACAAAAATAAAATCATTGTCAGAGACATTCAGTGATGATGGCCCAGAAGGCAGTTTCTATCTGAGCTTAGTAATTACTAGGAATTTTTAAAGCTTCAATTTCTTAGAATACAAATATAGTAACTATTAAAAATATTGTTTTGCTTTATAGTATAATTGAATAAAAGTTCACTTTGGACAAAGGGGCTGATGTACACCCTACCGCTGGCTCTCAGCAGTATGACACCCTGCAGGGCTGGGCTCATAAATCAGAACCGTACATGATAAGAAAATATATTCCTTATATCTAAGTATTTCTTTATCTAAAACTAAAGTATGCATATTTTTCTGTGCCCAATTTTAAAGGATTTTTTAGTTCACCCTCATTAGAGCTTCATCATTACTGTCCCCATGCTGGCCTCACTCTGCCCACAGCCTCCCAGGAGCTGCTGTGCCCTTGAAGCCCAGGTGTTCTGAAGAGGCGCAAAACCCCACTAAGCAGTAGAAAGCACTTTGTTGGAATAAAATGGACATTTTGAGGATACCTTCAGTCCAGTCTGGTCAAGCTCACCAGACAGATACTTGTCAGCCTTGGAGATTGTCCACACACCCTTGTGCTGTCAGGTCTAGTGTGGTCTTGGAAATGAGAGGGCAGAACAACACCAAACGGCAGGATGGGCAGCAAGGGAGCAGGTGAGGCCTGTGGACAGCTTGGTGCTCTCTCCCAGCTTTGCTGTCACTTCAGTTACCATTGTGTGTACACCAGAACAAAATTGTTTTTCGCTTAGAAGAAATTAACGGACTTCAACAGTAAATGAATCTTTATTTCTAGTCTTCAAATTGCCTCTCCCTTATATGACACACCACCATTTACAGGAGATACTGAAAGAAAGAAAAAACAAAGACATCTCGGTGCTGGCCAGATTTGTACCTGTGCTGTCTCACTGGAGCCCTGATTAGCCCTGCACAGCAGCTCTCGGGACCAGCAGCCCCACCTTGCCCACAGGAGATAGAGCTTTGAGCAGCCAGCACCTGGCCAACATGGCCAACATGGAGGGCCTGGGGGACAATGAACCTGCCCCCCTATGTAGCCTGGCCCCAGACAGCATGAAACAGGCACCAATGTCTGCTAAGAAGATCAGTCTTCAGGGAATAAATCATGGGGAAATTGTAGAAATGTGTGCTATAGCAACAGAAATCATACTGAAAGTGTCCCTTCATTCCTGTCATGCGACCACAGGAACCCTGTTGCACTTTTCTCTGTTGGACCCATGAGGAACGAGTGCAGCCTTTCATAATCTCTTGGCATTTGCAGAGGTTTGGGCAGATTGTGGTAGAGTGCCTCTCTTCTTTTCGCGGTCTCCCTGCAGAACACTTTGGGGAGGTGGGCAAGGGGCCTACCCCTTTGGCATGAAAACATGGGAAGAGCAGCCAGCACTGCAACCCTCCGGCACCTGCAGAAGGCCTCACCTCTGCTGCTGAAGCCTTGATCTTCCTGAGGGCTGTGCCATCTCACCATGGTCCACCACCCTTCTCACCCTTCCTGCAGGATTGGGGTAAACCTTTGTTTTCTCTGTACCCCTCACCTCTGGGGGCAGGCACGCTGGGAGGCACCTTACGGCTCTCAGCCTCTGCCCTTCAGCCTACCCCTGCTTGGAATCGAACTCTGCATTGTCAGGCTCCCTTATTGACCAGCTTGTATGTGAAAGCCTGGGAGCACCGCGGGGGGCAGCACACGTGCAGCTGGAGCCCAGAAGCAGAGTGCAGGGCAGAAAGGGAAACTGAGGGGAGCACCCAAAGAGTTTTCCAAAGTTAGTAGGAAAAACCAGTCCTTACATGCAGAAATCCCCACAAAGCCCAACCAGTTGATAAACCAGAAGAACTCCATCTTAGACATATCATAATAGAAATACATAACCACAAAGTCTGGAATCAAATCTCGAACCTGAGGAGAGAGGGTGAGGGTGGTGCAGAGGAGCAGCAGTGAGAAGTCTGGGTGATGCCTCAGCCATGACAGAGGAAGCCGAAGATGGTGGCTCAATAAAGAAACAGGTGTCAGCACAG